TCCAAACACTACTAACCACTTCTAAAATAGTCTTAGTTTTTTAGATCTTCCTTTCTTCACCCTCTGCTGTTTTTCTCTTAGCTTCTAATGGAGCCAAAGGTAACACAGGGGCTGGCTTGCTGGTTCTCCACCAACATAAACAACCAATTTGGGGAAACGCTGCCATCTGGCTCATACTTGATGCAATGCCAGCAGGGGGCGCTCATCCCCCAGATTATTCTGCCTTTAGCGCCTCATAGATTACAGTCAGCTATCAGCTACAAAACAGGCTACTCACTGGGTACAAACGGGCCACACACTCTTTGGTTACAGTCTCAGGATGTGGAATCAGCAAACCTGGATCAGAACCCCATTTCCAACGTCAGCTGGCTGCCTAACACTGGGCAGGCCATGTCACAGCATTAAATAAGACCATGCACAGTTTTGGCTATCTCCACAGATGGTACTACTGCTGGTACTATTACTATGAGGAAGTCTTCAGTGGTGGCAATGAAGGCCTATGTGGTAGACTGAAGAGTGAATTTCTACAACAGTGGTAACTAAAGGAGGCTACCCTGGACCGAGGCAAACTAGGTTCTCCTCTTGGCTGTTGCTCATGCCTTATTGCTGGGAAACAATACAGCCACAAGGTTCAAACCTGGCCACAATCATTGACTGCCAGCAAGACAGCAATCTCTCCAAGCCTCTTCTATAGAATGGAATAGAATTACCTACCTCATCAGGCTGTGATGAGGACAGAGGAAATCACTAAGGAAAAATAGTTAGCACTGCTCCCAGCTCACTGATTAATTGATTGATTGGCTTTTTACCAGCAGTATCTATAACCCCATGATTCCAATGAGCCTAAGCCATTACAGAGAAGTAGGCAGAAGTGTGTGTGCATGCCTTTATGGAGACAAAGATATAGGCTCCAAACACAGAGCTGAATCTGTTTGGGGACCTTTAATTATTTGTCACCTTGTTGGCTTCCTTATCAAATTAACGTGCTTAATGTTTGATGTTAAATTTTTAAGTATACTATATCCACATTCATTTAAATGCCCCACATGAATTGGGTGACTTTAAATTTTCCTATAGTTGGAACAAAAATATACTAAAATTAAAGTCTGAGAGCCAAAGAAACCGTTCACACACTGCAAGTTTTTCAGTGTGACCTTGGTCCTATAATGTCATTACACATTCATTGTAACAGCACCTCATGTTTGCAAAATAAAGCACATTATTATATAATCCAACACGCTGGTGCTTGAGACACCGTCAAAGTGCTTTAAATAATCTTGTTAATTCTCCCCTACTTCAATTCATCAATCACCCTTTTTCCCAAGGGTCTCCCGCTTCCTCTAGCACAAGAACCCTCTTTTTGGACCCTTGCATTTTCACTAAAATAAAATACATGTACCATTCACAAACTGCCATGAATTCATTTATACACATTAAACTCACTTGTGTATCACTGCAAAATAAGGGTTTGTAACACAGGAATATTAGAAGTGACATTAACAAGTGAGACTGATGTTACGATTTAGTAAAATAATTTCAGAATAGTGGTACAGTTTTGGTTGGCATTATCTGGTAGACATATCTTAAAATCATAATACAACAAGCTTAAAACATCAACATATATAAGACATTTTCTGAAATTATACTTTTTAAATCTAAAGAGCAATTTAATTTTCAACTGTGCAAAAGGATCGTTATCCCACATAAGCACTTAGCACCCCTCACATTCTGTGTGTGTGTGTGCATGTGTGTGCCTGTTTGGGTGCTTACTATTTGCCTTCTCTACTAGGTGGAGGCTCCATTAGAATAAGGACTTAGTTTCCTTTGCTGTTGAACCCCTAACACCTGAAATAGGCAAGTAGTGTTTAAAAAGGATTTGTTGATTAAATTCCATTTTCTCTCAGTCCCCATCTTGGGCCCCCTAAAATATAATTAGTTTTTCAAGAGGCCCAAGAATGTTGACTCATACCAGGCCTTCCATTTGTTTCAGGACTGTTGAACTCATGTATTAGGGTCCAAGCTACAGAGCCAAGCCTTTTCATTCATGAGGGAAAGGCCAATCCAGTCGAACCATTCAGATTATTAAGTGTAATCCTGAGTGTACATGAAACATTATCTCTGGACTCTATTCCAAGTACTTGTGGGCCCTGCCTTTAAAACTATCCACCAACTTTCACTTATTGCTTCCACACCTCAGGTCATCCCTTCTGGGATGTTCCCCCTCATTCTTCCCCAGTCCACAGCAATCCTCTACCCCTCAGCGTAAGGGTTACTCCTCAAGGAAGCCTGCCTGCTCCCTGTTCATCACTCACAGCTTTCTATATTCTTCCCTCACAGCACTCACCGCACTTCACAATGGCCTCTTTTTTTTTGAAGATCACTTTATTTATTTTTATATTTACTTTTAAATTGATTTTGAGAGAGAGAGGAAGGGAGAAAGAGAGAAACATCGATGTGAGAGTAAAACATCAATTGGCTGCCTCCTCCTCTCTAACAAGCCCACAACATAGGCATGTGTTCTGACTGGGAATCGAACTGACAATATTTTGGTGCACAGGACGACACCCATCCAACTAAGCCACACCAGCCAGGGCTACAATGACCTCTTGTGTGATTACTGCTTCAAGCATGTCTCCTCACTAGATGTTATACTCCGCAAGAGCAGATGAAGAACGGCTGTCTGTAGCACCAGGCCCCTTCTCAGTACAGCGCCTTGCACATGCAGGTGCTCAGAAATGATTACAGAATGGACTGAAAGGGTCCATCAGTGATTCACAAGGTGAAGCTCAACAACACTAACCACAGTAGAAAAAGCATTCTGGGCCGTAAAGGTCCATAACTGATGAAGATGGTCACAATGAGGGGCTGCCATAGGCTTTTTAATTAAAAAAAATATATATTTTTATTGTGATAAAACATTGTACAACCTTTTTACCAGGGAAACAACTGCCATCTTGGGACTTTTGCTTCCCAATGTCTTGGAGTTTTATTTGCAGGTTAAAAAAAAAAAAATCGTCACAAGCAAAAGAGCGATTTGCTCACATAGTAGATACGAAGACTGAATATACAATTCAAGAGATCTTCATAATCAGTGGTGTAAGAGTATACTGAGCCCTGGCCGGGTAGCTCAGTTGGTTAGAGGTTGTTCCGATACGCCAAACTTGTGGGTCCAAATCCCCAGTCAGGGCACATACAAGAATCAACCAATGAATGCATAAATAAGAGGAACAACAAATCTATATCTCTCTCTCAATATCAATCCATAAATAAAAAATTTAAGAGTATATTGAAAGAGATTTTGGCTCCTGGTCCCTCTACTTATTGCTTAAATATTTTCAGCAAGTCATTTAATGAGTTTGGGCCTCAGTTTCTTCACCTATAAAATGGGGAAACAGAACCTAGCTCATTGGCAGTATGAGGACAGAAGGAAATGATCAATGACAAAGCACAGTGTAGGCAGTGAGGTGTTACACAAACACAAGTTTCGGAAAGCAAAAACATCATCTGGGCCAAAGTAAGCCTTCAGCCAAAGAATCATCTACACTTCTCAGAAGGAAGTGGCAGCCTAGAATAGGGAAGGTACTCTTGTTCATTTCAATGCCCCCAGATAGGGATTTAAGTCATCACCATTACCCTCCCTTGTAAAACCGCTCACTTGAGAAGAGTGACCCAGCTGGCTTTCTCTTCAGTTTTTAATGGCCTTATTTTCCTATGCCTGCCTGGAGAGACCCAATGATCTAATTTACATAAAGTTTTCCCTAATTTTGGAGCAGGCTCTATTTTCCTACCAGCTCCCAGAATTCACAACTCATAGAAAAAAATGTCAGTAAGCTACACTGGCTTCCCCTGAGTCTCTGCTCTGGTGGTAGCTGGTAGAAGCCCCTCTGCCCAGGGTGTCTCCCCCTTCCTATCACCAGAGGCTTTCCACCAAGCTCAAGTGCAAATACTCCCAGGAGAGGTCAGCTGCAATTGTTCCGTATCTGAGTTATTTACAACAGATGGTGAAATCACTCATGACACGTTTTCCTGATAACAGAACGACAGCAAGGCAGCAGACACACAGACAACACAGCGCCCATGTGCTTTTGGTGGCCCTGGAGATCCCCAGGTGGGTGAGACAGAGAATATGGGGAGGAGTTGGTGAGGATTCCCAAAGACAAACTCACGATTTTTTCAGTGTTTGCCTCAGACTTGCCCCCACACACACGCAGTGCTCATACTCACAGCAGAGGAGTAGGAGTGAGAAAAGGGTCTTGGGCTTGCTGCGTGGGAGGCTCACATATGTATGGGAAATGATGGACCCGGCTGGGAAACAAGGGGATGATGAGCCGCAATGGGGTGGGGGAGACAACAAATAGAGTCCAGATGCCAGCCTTACTGGTATTTATATTATGATGCACTGCATTTGACCTCAAATTGTTAAAGTGCCATCTTGTTACTTCTCCTTAAGGAGATAACTGGCTATTTTGCAAACACGTAGACTTGGAGAAGCAGTACAGAATAATGACTGAATGTTTAGGCTTGAGTTTTAAAGACCTAAGTTTGAATCTCTAACCTATCAGCTGTTAACTATGTGACTTCAGGAAAATTACTTAACCTCCGTTTCTTCATCTATCAGACAGTACCTACCCTATAAGGTTGTGGTGAGGGTAAAATGTGACTGTATGTACAAACAGCTTTGCCTAGTCCCAGTCATGTGGCAAGGCTCAATAATGTTCAATTTTATCAAATGCAAGAGCTTATTAAGGTCCTCCCCCCCTTCAGTGCCAGTTTTCCCTGAAGTTTCAGGTCCAAAGCATCCATAAACTTTCAGCTCTAAGTGCTACACATTTGTCAATGGAAATACCTTTCACTTGACTGAAAGGCGGCTTTGCTATGCCTACCCAGGCCCATGTTCACTTGGGTTATCTATCAGGCGGGAGGGCAGGGGAAAGGATCGAGAAAGGGAACAGAATAGACAGCTGATTCCAGATTTGAGGCACCTCTCTGAGCACACTCACCGAGTCCGGGTCTCGCTGCTGTTCGAGGAAAGCGGAAAATTCCACCAGGCGAAGTTTGGTTGTGCCAATGGACCGACCCTGCCAGGCAGGAACTGAGGGAGCTGGGGCTGACGCAGGCTCAAACCCTGAAAGATCAATCGTCACCTTTAATGCTGGCCATCTGCCTCCCCTTGGGCCTCAGGCCAATACTGGGGTGGGGCCCTACAAAACGGATGACCCAGGAGGAAAGGCCAACAGCCTGTTCTACCAGTGTCTTGTGGAACTAAGTGAGGTAGGGGTGAGATTCTGGCCGAGGACCTCAGAGGCAGCGTCCTGGAAAAGCACGATGCGTATGGCTCCATGTAAAGCCCACTTCTCCATGTAAAGCCCACTTCAGTCGTGCTACGGGCTGTGGCATGAGGATGCCTATCCTGGACAAAGGGGCTGAGCTGGGGACCAGGGAGAGACTGACTGAGGAGCAGAAATGAATGCTGGCAAAGATCTCCTGGGAGGCTGGCACGGGCCAGACACTTCTTGTGTTTCTCCACTTCCCGTCTTCAGACTGCAGTCACCAGCACTATAGAATACTCTCTAAGAATGCTCCATGGTAGTGGAGCAGAGGGCATTTCAGGTTGGGGACTCTGTGACGGAGAGCGGCTCCACTGGGTAATTCTACGTGTGTGCGCGCGTTTATGTGTGTTTGTGTGTGTGTGAACAGATACATGTTTTCTAGTTTGGGCTTCCCTGTCAGCTCTCCTCTAAGGAACTGAAACCTACTTATCTAAGAAAGGATGAATAATCCCATGTGCCCTCAGGACTTGGATTGCTCAATTCTGCCTGTTAATGATGAGGAAGGAACTGTAGCAACTTCCCCTTCCAAGGATGACCAGGGTGCTGAGTGAAAGTGACCAGGCTTCCTGTTTCCTTAAAAATGCGTCTGAAGAGTTCTCATGGGTTGATTGAGAGGAATTGGGGAACTGGGAGGGAACACCCCTGTGACCCTCCTAAGCTCCAGGCTAACCCCTGCCTTAAGCAAGTTGGGGGTATAGAGGGGGCACCCATGGCTCTGCAAGTCAGGGGACACATGAAGCTGTGGAACAGAGGGAGAGGGAGCCCCATGGAGACTCACCTGGAATGGGTGCTGTGACTGCTGGCTGGATGGGGTAGGCCTGCTGCACGAAGGGCTTGACGCTGGGGACAGAAGGATGAAGAGTGAGAAATGGTGGCTGGAGCAGTGGCTTCTCAGTTCTGGCCTTGACCTCCCAGGGCTAGGGACCAACCTGTGGTTCTCCTCACTGTGAGGTTCCCTGCCTGCAGGTGGGAGCACAGCCCAGGCAGAGCTCCATCAAGATTGAGAGGGTTACTCTCTTCAATTGAGAGGGGCCAGGCTGCTAGGGTCTTGGCACCTGCTTCATGCCAGTTCAGTGGGATGAGCTGGACATCTACCTTTGAACTTCTCATCTCTGTAGAGGCCGAGGTTAGTGGTCACCAGTTTCAGGCAAGGTTTGGGACATGCTTCAGGCTCTCCTTCTCTAGGCTAAATAGCTCATACTGAGCTTGCTACCTTGGCCCTCAAAGCATCAGTGGGATTTTCTATTCACTGCCACACCACAGGGAAAGCGAGAAAAGAATGGGCTGCAGAATCACCCCAGTGCCCTCTCTCTTAGGCAGGCACTTCTCAGAAGACCTTAGGCTTTGCCTTCAGAGACCTGAAAGGACTAGAATCCTCTTCCTGTTTTGAGCTAGATGACCACTAAGCTTAAAGTGGGAGTGAGGTGTTTACATGTCTCTAGGATCTGAGCAGTCTCTTTCCTGCTACTGGCTTCCAGTAAGTAACAATGGGGAACAACTTTGGTGAAATCAGGTTAAATCTTCCCCCTCCAAGCTCCGAAGCAGTCTAGTCCCAGGAACACACTACCCCACTACCCAGGGTGGGCTATGCCCAGGCCCTTGTCAGTGCTGCCCCTCCTCAGACTTACTCTTGTGAGGATCCCGGTTGCCCTGTTTGTATCATTCCCGGCCAGAACTGGAAGGCAAAATGCAAGAGGCTTCAGGATTATGAGTTCACTTCAAAGCATAGTTCAGGACGTGTAAGCATTGCAACCCCTGCTAAAGACAGTGGGTTCAGACCATCCACCAGCGGCAGTGACCCTCCCTAAATGCAGATGTGGTCACTGCTGCACACAAAATTGCAACCTATGCCCTTGGCCTGGCAACCCAGGGCTCCCTCTAGCTCCTCTTCGAGATAATCTCTGAGTGCAGGGTCAGGCAGCAGCTTCAGTGTTCTCCTGACACCTGGCAGTGACCTGGGTGCACTGCAGAGCGCTCATGAATATTTCATCTGACTGCTCTTATC